TATGGGAAGCTGGTGGCCTGAGACCACCAGCTCTGGGTGAGCCAGTGGCATGGTGCCCACAGCTGCTCCCTGGCTCTGAGTTGGGCTCCTTCTCTGTGGCAGCTCAGGTGCACTACAGCGTGGAAAACAACTCATTTGCACCTCTGCTCTCGGGAAGCAGGACTGAACCCCAGTGTGACTGCTTTTCCAGGTTGTCTCTTATGCAAAGTTCCTGTACCCTACCAACGCCCTGGTCGCACCCAAGAGTGACAGCCACGGCCTGTTGTCCCAGCCTCGGCCGAGCATCCCCCGGGCTCTGCCAGGGTCAAGACATAAACCTGCCACTGCCAAGTCGGCACCAGCTGGCACAGAGCTAGGTATAGTAGCCTGTCTTCCCACGGCACAGGGGAGGCAACACACCTTAGGCCACACTCAGGCCGGCGCTCATGGCTGTGCCAGGCTGCAGAGCAGGGCAGCAGAGCCTCTCGGGGGAGAGGAGGCTCCAGGCTGCACACAGCTCTGGGCTCTGCCCAGGCCAGGTGGGGAAGAGGCACCCTGCCCCAGGCTGCTTCAGGAAGGGACCTGACCTCTCAATGTCCCTACAGGACACCTGTCCCTTTAACCTGGGCTGGGGACAGGGAGGGAACTAGGGCCTGGGGACCCTCTCAGACCCAAGGTACTTGGCTGTGATGCCTCTCCTGTGGACTGGACAGTTTCCACACAGACTCTGGTGGGTCAGGAGCTGCCTCTACTTACAGGGAGTGACGTGGGAGATACCCTGGAATATAACCCCAACCTCCTGGACGACCCACAGTGGCCCTGTGGAAAGCACAAGCGGGTCCTCATCTTTGCCTCATACATGGTGAGCACCTGCCACCTGTGGCCTGCAAGCTGCCCACCTCAGGGCACATGGGTGGGCTGTGGGCAAGCCACCCTGGCACCTAGAAGCCCCAGATAGCCAGCCCACAGGGACCTACCCCACCTCAGAACACCAACAGCAGCAGGAAAGGGACCCAGGCCATAGACAGGCAATGTGTAGGGCAGGCCAGAGAGCCAGGCTGGCCATGCTCACCTGGGGTCAGCCCTCAGAGACTGGCAGCTGGAGTCTCCCCACCAAGGACAGATGGGCTCTTCAGCCATTTCATTCTCGGAGATCCAGGTGCCCCTCTGAAGCTCCTCATGTTCATGTGTGCAGACCCAGGCTGTGCCAGGCTACCCCAAGGTGGGCTGGCCCTACCTGCTTCACTTCTGTTGCAGACCACAGTGATAGAGTACGTGAAGCCCTCAGACCTCAAGAAGGACATGAACGAGACCTTTAAGGAGAAGTTCCCTCACATCAAACTGACATTAAGCAAAATCCGGAGGTAAGGAGTGCCAGGCAGATGTCCCAGCCTGCTCCCCAGTATAACCCCAAGGGCACGTGGCACAAGCCGTGGCGGCTGCCTCAGCAGCATCAGAGCCTCTGCCCTTGGACACGTTCTCTCCCACCAGTTTGAAGCGGGAGATGCGGAACCTGTCGGAGGAGTGCAGCCTGGAGCCAGGCACTGTGTCCATGGCCTACGTGTACTTTGAGAAGCTTGTGCTGCAGGGCAAGCTCAACAAGCAGAACCGCAAGCTGTGTGCTGGCGCCTGTGTGCTGCTTGCAGCCAAGATCAGCAGTGACCTCCGCAAGAACGAAGTGAAGCAGCTCATTGATGTGAGTAGGAGGCCCTGCTGTGGTGGCCCCGACCAGTCCAGCCCCAGGAGCTAGGCCACGCTGGAGGGAGGTCTGCCAGCAGCGTACCTAGTAGGTGGCTGACACCCAGTCACTGCTCAGGTTGGGGATGCAGTCCTGGGGTTAACCTGTTGAACCTCTCTCCTCCACACAGAAGCTGGAAGAAAGATTCCGATTCAACAGGCGAGATCTCATTGGGTTTGAGTTCACGGTGCTCGTGGCTTTGGAGCTGGCCTTGTACCTCCCCGAGAACCAAGTCTTACCTCACTACAGACGGCTCACCCAGCAGCTCTAGGCCAGGCATGGACGTGCAGGAAGGCTGCTGGGCAGAAGCACAGCCCTTGGCCCAGGCAGAGGCCAGCAGTCCGCCCACCTGCCCCCTCCCAGCCCACGCAGCTTCTCTTATTCTGGGTTTCCTTGGAAAAGCATGTCACTTTCATTCCAAAGTGCACCACACCTCCAAGGATGTTTTGAGAGGTTTCCTAGAGTACTGCACGGACAGTGTGGGGGTGTGGCGTTTCTCATGTGCCTGAGGTGGGCCTGACACCAGGACCTGTGGTCTACGTCACATGGAGGTGAATCCAAGTTCTGGCCTCTTTCACCTTGCCTTCCTTGCCAACTTTCACAGCCACAGCACTGGAGCTCTGCATGTCACACCTCATGTCACACCTGAATTGCCATCTCTGACTTACTAAGCATACATATTGGGTATTACGTTTTCCCAGAGGCACCTCCCAGCGTCCATGCCCACTGGCCACTGCTTCCTCCAGAACTCCCCATACTTGCACAGGCAGCTCTTGGTGCTGGGCTGAGCCAAGGGCAGACGCCTGGTCTGTTTTGATCTTTCTTTTTGACTCAGACCTGTTTTTGAGCTTTCATGTCACTGTGAAACCCCATGCTGTGTCACATATCCAAAGGGATTGGCAGACCTCAGCCCATCCCATGCCAGGACCACCTGTGCCTCTTGCCGGGAACACCTGTCTATCCATGACACTGGACCGTGAGGAAAACTGCTGGCTCTTGATTCTCCTAAGCAATATTGTAACAGTGAAAATGTTATTTATTATGACTTGGGATTTGGTTGTGTGGGACTTTTAAGGGAACAACTGGGTTCTTTCCATGAGGTCTGCCAAAGGTGTACCTCAGAACCATGCTTGACCCTCAGGCAGGAAGGCATTGCCACTGCAGAGCCCACACATCCTCAGACTCAGGAGGTCAATGCCCATCCTTCCTAAGCAGAAAGTAGATGCTGTCTCGACCAGTGCAGCCTGCTGTGCCAGAGGGCCATCGCTGTCCCTTCTGTGCAGGTCTATGCTCAGAGCACAGGGCCATCTTCAGCTTTTCCAGGTTCAACATTCTTGCAGAGGACCATGTACTCCTGTTCCCCAGGCTGCTGCCCAAGAACACTGAGCAACTAAGAAAGGCCATCTTCCCTCACAGCCCAGCTGGCCTCAAACACGGCAACTGTGGCTGCTGGGCAGAAGGCTGTCTATCCCATAACCTGTCACCAGCAGGGACTAAGAATTCTGTTCATAATGCCTGTGTTCTTGCAGAAAGGAGACGTCAGTCCACTGCTAGAGGCACCCAGTTCCATACCCACCCTAGGAAAGGTACAGCACAGCTGACCACCCCAGCTGAGGAAAAGGAATGGCTGGAGGTCACAGTCAAGGCCAAGGAGAGTCCAGAGACCTTTTATCCACCAAGACTACAGCCTGCAAACACTGGACCTGGGCCCCACCGACTCTGAAAAGCACTGATATTAAGGAAATGGCTGGTAAACACAGTAGTAACTAGGTTTGTGTATTTATGTCATGAGATTTAGTCATTGACCAAACTGGTGTGTCTGAAGCCCTTCCTTCTGTATGTCCTTTTCAACAATGCCCAGAGCTACTGCCATGCGGTACCCAAAGCTGCTGCAAAAAAACCAGTACTTAAACCAAACAGCTTGAACCTGTAACCTTTTAGCCCAAGTCAAGTCTGGGCTGTGACCAAACAAAGCCAGACCTGGTGTATGTCCACACCCCGCAGCAGTCCTGGATGTGAATGTGTGTACACGAGTATCTGACCTCAGAATGTTCAAGTTTATGTCACAGATTGTTTTCAAATGGATAATGTATTTGTTGAAGTAAAACTTGGTTTTGCAACACACTTCAGTGTCTCCTTTCAGCTAACTACATACATTACTCATCCTAGTCACCCATCCACAGCGAAGGGCCTGTTCCAGGACCCATAGGGACAGAACAGACCCACACAGGTGGCTTTTCATTATTTATTTATGACAAATATTCTGCATCTCCAATTCTCTCCAGTCAAAAATTCCTACAAGAAAACAAAGCCAGTATTAAACCATGTCTCTGGTGAAGTCCCTGGGCCACTCCATCCACATGCAACAACTGCCTTACTTTGAGACGATGCAATCTGCCTTAGCCAATCGGAGAATGGAGTCATCGGACTCACCCTTTAAAAAAAAAAAAAAAACACTCAAAGAATGTTTCCACCTGAGCTGGCAGGAAGTTCTGCATGCCTCGTCAAACCCACATTTGTGCCCAAAAACCAGCCAGGAGAAACGCGCTGGCAAGCTCCTAGCCACTGAGTCCTTTCTCAGAGTCGTCCTTTTCCTGGGCTCCAGGAAGGACAGGATCCAGCAAACCTATTCCACGCACAATCCACCAGCCTGAGGCAGAAACCACCGTACACTCATAAGGTCCAGGCCTAAGCACACAGTGCTGGGGACGGGGACCGTGGCAAGCCACGCCGAGGGAAAACTCACCATCCTGCGAATGGCCCCGCAGATAGCGTAAGTCTTAAACTGGCCGTTAAACCTGCCGGTGACCTTGTCCACCTGTTAAGACATGGAAATGCCACTCACCTGGGGTTTGGAAAGCAATGCACAAAGCTAAGCCCAGAACAACGTCCCGAACCGGGGTCCCCCACGGGACAGGCCTTGCAAAACCCAGCTCACCTCGGCCACGTTTATCTGGATGGACGCGTGGTCCTTGGCACCAATGATGCGGTTGCTGGCGGAGCTGCGGGGAACGGGTCGCACAGTGAGCGAGCGGGGCCGCGGGGCACCGACCGCGGCGCAAGGGACGGCAAGGGGCAAGGGCGCTCACCATTTCCGCGGCACGTACAGGTCCACGAACTCGCCAGCGTCGTTCTGCATGCTGAAGCGCGCCTGCGGAGCCACCGCGCGGCCGTGAGGTCGGCGTTCGGGCCCCACCCGGCCCCCGGCCCCGCACGGCCCCGGCCCGCTCGCCCACACCCTGCCCCCGCAACGCCCCGGCCCCGGCCCCCGGCCCCGCACGGCCCCGGCCCCCGCCTAGACTGCAGCCCACACCGCGAGGCCCACCTGCTGCCTCCACCACGAGCGCGAGAGCAGAGAGGAAGAGACACGTGCCCCGGCAGCGATATCGGCGGTGGGCGGGGTCCCGGCGAGCGCTTCCGGGTCGGCCACCGCCGCGGGTCTGCGCGTGCGTCCTGCGGCGCGGTCTGGCACGCCCCGCTTCCGCTTCCGGCCTCTCCCGCGCTGTGAGTGCAGCGGTGAGGGCGCGGTTGGTTCCGGCCGGCGAGCTGGGCCGAGGGCGTCTCGGGACGCGGGCCCCCCGGGCGGCAGGGGCAGGCGGAGTACCCCGAACCGAGGGCCTCGCGGCGGCCTGGGCCTGAGACCCCAGGACGGAGAAGCCAGCGCCTGGAGAATCCGCGGCCTGGGCGGGAGGAGCTCTGCCCGGACCGGGGCAGAACTAGGCCCACAGCCCTTGCCCGGTACCGTCATCGCCGCCTCGAGGACCTCCTTTCCTAGCTGGGCGCGGTGGCACTCGCCGGGAGTCCCAGCTACTCGGGAGGGTCCCGGGGCCAGCCTGGGCAACTTAGGCTGTGTCCCAGAGTAAAGAGTGGGGCAGGGTGCCCGGTGGTAAAGTGCCCAGGTTCGGTCCCCAGGACCTAAAAAGGAAAAGCCCTTCTCCACAGCAGTGTGGACTGAGAAGTGCTTGTGCCAGGCTCTCCTGGCGCCCGGCCGTTAATGAAGAAAATGGAAAACTCCCAAACTGCAAGTTGCATCCCAGAGTCGCCCACCCCAGACACCCTGGAATCAGGGCCAAGGCCTGCCCTGGCCCTCAGCTCCCACGGGCTTTTCACCAGTTTCCCTCAGATCATACTGTTGAGGGCCCTCCCAGAACCACCCTCCTTCACATGCTGATCTGCCCAGCATGGAACTGTGTACCTGAGGTCCTGTCCTGCAGGTCCTCTCCTGGACCTGCTCACCCTGTGGCCCTGTGCGCAGTAGGGCTGCAAGGCCTGGTGTTGATGGAGTGCACCAAGAACTCTCAGCCTGAGGCAGCATCATGACCATTGTGAGAGAGTTTAGCACCTGGGGTTGGTTGGATCTGAGCTGCAAGGTCCCCATTCACACCTGGAAACCAGGTGTTCGTGGTGTCTGTCTGCTGGTGCTTTCACTGGACTACAGCCTGGAGTCAGAAGTGATTGCCCTCTGGGAGTCTTGATTTGTGCAGGCCCTAAAGCATGTGCTCTTTCCAGAAGTCCAGCACCTGTGCAGAGATGCCTTGGTGGTTTTTTTGCAGTTGCAAATCTGCAGTTGGCCTGCCCTGTGTCTAGGTTGGCCCAGCAAGGCCTGGGGATCAAGAGAGTGTCTAGCTAAACAGCCAGAGATGCGGCAGCTAGAGTGCCAGAGAAGAGATTGGCAGGATGAGGACCACAGAGCCAGCAGAGAGCTGTCAGCACAAGGCTGGGGAAGAACCATCCTAGCTGGCCTGTAATCCCAGCAGCTCAGGAGGCTGAGGCAGGAGGATTGCAGTTCAAAGCCAGCCTCAGCAACTCAGCGAGACCCTGACTAAATAAAATACAAAAGAGGGCTGGAGATGTGGCCTGGTGGTAAAGCACATCTGGGTTCAATCCCCAGTACCTCCAAAAAAACATTATAAACTTAAGGGGCACAGTATCCAGTGGACCACTGGACTGGACTGGACCTGTGCCCATCAACTACACAGGAAAAACTCAGTCCACAAGGATTAGGTAGAGCCTCAGCAATGGAAAATAATCATACCTGTCAAATGGTAAAAGCAAGACCTCAAAGGGTCTACTGTTTGCAGGTAACTTGACTGCGTCCCAGAGGGAAAAAAAAAGCTTAAGAGGGGCTGGGGTTGTGGCTTACTGATAGAGCACTTGCCTAGTGTGCTTGAGGCACTGGGTTTGATCCCCAGCACCAAACAAAAAGCAAAAACAAAGGTATAAAAAAGAAGCTTAAGAATGAGGGCTGGCCCATAGCTCAGTGGTCAAGTGCTTACCTAGCACAGCTTCAATCCTTAGCACCACATAAAAATAAAGGTATTCTATCCACCTACAACTACAAAATATATGTGTGTGTGTGTGTGTATGTGCCAGGCACAGTGGCGCACGCCTGTAATCCCAGCAGCTCGGAGGCTGAGACAGGAGGATTGTGAATTCAAAGCCATCCTCAGCAATTGCAAGACTCTAAGCAACTCAGTGAGACCTTGTCTCTAAATAAAATAGGGCTGGGGATGTGACTCAGTGGTCAAGTGCCCCTGAGTTCAATCCCCAGTAACAAAAAAGAATGTGGGATACTGTCACATTGCATGCCTCGCAAGATAGAATGTGTGTCATGTGGCATCCAGTAAAAGATGCCTGGCCCTATACACCTGTATAATTCCAGCAACTGGGGAGGCTAAGGCAGGAGGATGGTAAGTTTGAGGCCAGCCTCAGCAACATACCAAGTCTCCATCTCTAAAAAAGCTGAGGAGGTAGCTCAGTGGTAAATTGTCTTAGGGTTTGAACCCAGCATGTCAAAGACTGTCAGCCACATAGAAAGCAGGGCCACTGCTGCAGAACTGACACAGCATCAGAAATGCAGGACACGTAAGGGTTTTCTGAAACGTGTTTTTCTGTAAGAAGGTTTAGAAGAGGAGTGTATAAAGAAGATCCCAGGTAGGGTGATGGATTGAGTTGATCCCAAGTAGGGTGATGGATTGAGTTGATCCCAAGTAGGGTGATGGATTGAGTTGATCCCAGGTAGGGTGATGGATTGAGTTGATCCCAGGTAGGGTGAAGGATTGGTTGCCTTGCTGCCTCTGTGAAGCTCAGTGACACTGAGGCCGTGTTGGGACGAGGCTCCCACTGCATGCAGTAGCCAGCACCAGGCCCAGCGGACAGCAGCCCATGCTCACCCATGCCCTGGACTCCATCCGCAGCTCAGCTGCACCTGCACAGTCCTACTCTTGTGTGACCATAAGTGACCCTCAGAGGAGAAAACCAGGACAGTGGTACACACCTGTCATCCCAGCAACTTGGGAGGCTGAGGCAGGAAGAGGGCAGCTTCTAGGCCAGCCTGGACAACTAACTGACACCCTGACTCAATTTTTTTTTTAAGTGGGGGGTGGCAGCTGGGGTTGAGGCTCAGCCATAGAGCGCTCGCCTAGCACATGCAGGGCCCTGGGTTTGCTCCTCAGCACCACATAAAATATAAAGGGGTTGTGTCCAACTACAACTAAAAAATATATTTTTAAAAAAAGAGGGGATGGAAACTGGGGTGTAGCTGAGAGGCGGAGCAGCGCTGGGTGCGACCCTCAGAACATCAACAAAACAAGGTGAGATGAGGGCCCTCGCTGGGGCAGCCAGTGTCCATGTCGGGCCTTCCTGGGCCGGCTTGTCTGCAAGGTCTCTGCTCCATGTCAACATGGGAGCCCCGTCTGCAATGGACTAGATCTGCTGCAGCGGCTGGAGCTGCTGCCCACCACCACTGCTGTCCAGCTGGAGAGAAGTGGGGCTGAGAGGCCTTGACGGCACAGGCTGGGGGGCTTGTGGTTGTTTGTTTGGGTTTTAATTTTTGGTGCTGGAGATTGAACTCCAGGGCACTCATCACCCAGCTACGTCCCCAGCTCTCCCCGCCCTTTTTAATCTCGAGACAGGTCTCACAAGTTACCCAGCTGGCCTCAGAGTTGTGTCCTCCTGCCTCAGCCTCCCAGTGTAGTGTAGCACCACACAAAACATGTTCTGGGTCTTTTTTGAAGAGGGCAGCTTCTAGGCTGTTTGCTTTGTTCTGCTTTTGAAGTGTTGGGGATTGAACCTAGGTGCCTTGCCACTGAGCTGTATCCACAGCCCTTTTCTGTTTATTTATTTCAATTTTGTATTTGTTTGTTTGTTTTGAGACAGGGTCACCCAGGCTGGCCTTGAACTTGTGATCCTCCTGCCTTGCACTTCCTTTCTGTCTTCTCACCATACTACCTGTTAAATGGCTCCAGTTCATTTAAAGTTGTATTCAAAAGATTGATTTTATTTTAAAGATTAATGTGATCTCAAATGGGGTATAATGTATGATCAGCCAAATTCAAGACAGCTGTTACACAAACTAAATATGTTTTTACTCTTGTTAATTTCATTTGTATTTTCCCTGTAACCGTTGCCTGTTGATATTTTGCAGAGGTACTGCTTCAAGAACACAAAACCTGGGCTGATTAATTTATTTTGTATTAATCTCATTTCGGTACTCATGTCTTTTTATTTCTTTCATAGAAGAACCTACTCCCAGGTGAATTTACAACTGTTCTTCCCAAACCAGACTTTTACCATGAACCCCTCGACTGACCTGATTTCTAAAAAAGAGACTCCAAACTGCTTGACCCACCACACATGGCCCCTGCCCCCTCAGCTCGAGGCAGCCCCTTCCCTACAGCAGTAAGAAGCCCCTAAGGGGCTGGGGTTGTGGCTCAGCGGTAGAGCACTCGCCTAGCACAGGCGGGGCCCGGGTTCGATCCTCAGCACCACATAAAAGTAAAAGTATTGTGTTGTGTCCATCTACACCTAAAAAATAAATATTAAAAAAAAAAAGAAGTTCCTAAAATCAGAGATTGACAGGTAATTGCATCAAATCACAAAATGGAGCCTGGTTTGGGTCCAGAAAATGTTTGCCATGTTTTTTCTCTTATCAGAATATGTTATAAGGCCTGAGCTGCTAAACAAAATATCTTGTCAATCTAGTTAATGTATATGCATGGCCATTACAACCTCTTACTTAATTTAAAAGATAAGGTTTGATTGTTTCTAGAAAAGGGGGGATGTTATGGGCCAGGCTGTAAGGGCAATGACCAAACAGACTCCATTTCACCCTGAGACTCCAAGTCACATGAGAAATGCTTCTCCCATGAGAACACCCCACCTCTGTACCCACCAACAGTTGCTTAGCATAGCATGTTTGGCAACACAAAATGGCAATTCTTTTTTTTTTTTAATATTTTTTAATTGTAAATGGACACGATATATTTGTTTTTATGTGGTGCTGAGATTCGAACCCAGTGCCTCACACATGCGAGGCAGGCGCTCTACCACTGAACTACAGCCCCAGCCCAAAATGGCAATTCTTATACAGTGTAAAATTGTCCTCTCTTTGGTTCCCACTTTTCTTGGACAATGTGCCCTGTCAGAGAGTGATGGTCTAGATGTTAGTGACCATTCCGTAACTTATAACTCAACTAGGGCCATTTTGGCCCACTCCCTCTTCTACTTATGATTTTAGATCTTATGATGTTTGTTTGTTTTGAATCGTAGCAACAGCCACTTATGATTAATTTGGTTTTGTACTATAAAAGGTGTGCTCAAACCCCGGGACCCGGGAGGAGGTGGAAGGGTAGACTTCAGCCTGCCTGTTGGCCCATCAGTTGATGGATGCGGCTGGGGAATACAGGTTTCGTTCCTGCTTTAAGATGGACTGGGTGGGCTGGGGCTGGGGCTCCGGGGTAGAGCGCTCGCCTAGCATGCACAAGGCACTGGTTTTGATCCTCAGCACCACATACATGTAAAATAAAGATACTGTGTCCACCTAAAAATCTAAAAACATTAATAAAAAAAAACGATCGACTGGGTAATTTATTGCAGTCTTGCCATAACAGGATCACAGGCTGCCACCACGCTGTGTCGGCTGCTGTCTCTTAAGTAATAATGTAACAAGGTCGTCATTCACCTAACATGTGATCACTACCTGTGTACAGCTGGAAATGCACTTAATTCCTTCCCCTGAGCAGGAGGCAAAGCTTTCTGAGTGATGCTTACTCTCTCCTGACATCCCACAACCTAAACACTACAGTGTAGATTTAACAGCACCCAGTGCTGATGTTGTCAGTCAATGTCAGGTGACGGGGGCACAGCCTCCTGCACAGCACCTGGACCTGCTGGAGAGCCTCTGTTCCAGGCCCCACTCAAAATGAGGAGGCTTTGGAGTCCCTCGGCAGATGCCCCCTCGCAGTGCAAGATTGCCTCTCACTGGCTGTTTCCCAGGTATCGGCAACGCTAATGATTCCACTTGGCCGTTGCCGCGGTAAGAGTGCTCACTCCACAGTGAGGAGCCAATGTGGGGTTCTGCCGAGTGCTCAGCACATCTGTGCTGATTATGTTCTGGGACTGGGGAATAGCAGGATGAGTTCAGGGGTCCTGGACCCACTGTGAGTCAGACTCTGGCCGAAACTTCACTGATCACCTGACTTTCATAAGCCCCTGCTTTTACTGGAGGGTCACAACGACATTGGATGCCCCAGTACCAATGTCAATTCAGAGCCTGTGTTTGGTAGTCCCTGAAAGTTCTGGTCATTGTCTTTGCCCCAATGTACAGTTACCTTCGTAAAAGGCCTTAGGTCCCTTTGTTGAAGGATGAGAGAAAGATTAACAGTAAAGTTTTTTGGTACCATACCAGGGTCTTTCCTCAAGGGGACCTGACCTCCCCTTCATTTAAGGGGTTTGGGGTCTATAAACTGGCTCAAATCTGGGAAATGGTGGAGGGGCGATGAATCTCTGCTGTTGTGATCTAAGGTAGAAATCTGTACATTTGCCCTGGAATTTTTCTGCTTATATAAGTTGAGTAAGAATTCGGTGGGTTTCCCATCTATTTGGCTTCTAGAGACACCCGGGTTAATTAGCCAATGCCAAAGATCTACATGAGTCAGAGCATGTGTCCTCCCTTCCCCTGTGCAGTCCTATGCTAACGACCACCACCTGTCTCTGGTCACTGAGGGCTTCCTCTCGGCCGCTTGCTCCCGGGGCCCAGTGATTCCCAGGGCATGTAAGCGATTGGCAGCAGCTCCACAGCAAGCTCAGGCACACAGAGATGCTGCCGCACCCCAGATCTGTTCTCCTGGTGCTGGGGAGGGGCACCCTGTCTGGACCCCCCAGGGTGGAGAGCAAGGTCCGCATGACAGCCACTCCAGCCTCCCAGCCTTCCTGAGCCTGGGCCTCCCAGGCCTCCGTGGAAGGCACACCAGGGGACGTGGGCAGGGCCTCCCAGCAGGGCGCCTTTCAACCTACACTCCAGCCAACCATCCAAACAGACCATCCCTGCCTTTCAACACTGAGCTACCTTAAATCTAGAATCTCTGCTCAGTGGGCGTATATCAATAAGTTCAGCCTGATCTGATTTTTTGTTCCTTCCACTTTATCCCACACTGTTCCCAGACCTGGGCCTGTATGGATTAGAAAGCTAAGGAGTTGCCGGATGAAGTGGCACGGCTTTGGAATCCCAGCAACTTGAAGGGTTGCAAGTTCAAGGCCAACCTCAGCAACGTAGCAAGGCCTTAAAAAGCTCATCACGACCCTGTCTCAAAGTTTAAAATTTTTTTTTTAATATTTATTTATTTATTTTTAGTTATCGGCGGACACAACATCTTTGTATGTGGTGCTGAGGATGGAACCCGGGCAGCACGCATGCCAGGCGAGCGCGCTACCGCTTGAGCCACATCCCCAGCCCTCAAAGTTTAAAATTTTTAAAAAGGGCTGGAGATGGAGCTCAGTGGTGACCCTTGGATCAATCCCGGTACCAAAAAAGGAGACTCAAGGGGTGGCCTTGGTGTGGTCACACGGCACACCTCACCTCTGCGCCTGCTGAGGTCTGGAGGTAGCGGGGGCCTGGAGGTGGAAGGAGGTGGCGAAGAGGTCCGAGGAGCCACGGAAGGTCATTCCTGTTTCCAGAGGCAAAGCAGGACCCGCGGGGGCAGTGGGAGGCCAATCCACAGACAGCAGAGGTGGGGTGCCCTATGCTGAGGGCGGGAGGCCACTTCCTCAGAATCACCTTCGGGGGCCTCTGCACCCCAAATCACAGGATCCCTCCTTTCCAAGCAGCGCCCCCACTTTGCAGACGCTCTCCGGGGCTGACGCTGAACTTGCCCTGTAACTCAGCAGCATGACGGCTGGTGCTTGGTTTTCAGCAACCTCAGCCAGTGACCTCAAGTCCTCCCTCAGGGCACGCCGAGGTGCCTTTGGCCCGCAGGGTGTGCCTGGGACACTGACCCTCTCCTTGGTTCCTCCGTGCAGTGCAGCAGGGGCCACCAGCCACACCTCAACATGGCTCCCTTTCTAGAAGTGCTCCTCTGTTCCCGCGAACAGGCGGCTCAGCCCCTGGCCTCTCATGAAGGGCGCATCCCAGCACCTGATGCATTCTGTTACCAGTTCACAGCGGGGAGTGCCAGTGCCACCAGCTTAGAGAGCCCACCCCAGTCGCCACAGCCAGCTGGGAGCCAGAGGAGCAGGAGCTGTTCAGGCCCAGACTCTGGAGCCTCGGAACAAGAGGGACCAACCGTGCGGCCCCATCTGGGACTGAAGCCTGGGAGCCCCCTGGGGAGTCGTCAGTCAGAGTCCAATCTGCAGGGCGAGACAGATGTCCTCAGGTGAGGGGCAGTGACCACTGCCTCAAGAGCCCAGCTCCAGAGCCTCTTCTGCCTCAGCCTCTGTTCCGTCCCGCCCAGCCTGTCAGCCCCCCACTTTCAGTGCACCTCAGTTTGCAGCCCCATGTGCCCTGTCTCTGGAAACACCCTCATACACACCCCAAGTGTCTAAGTCCTAGGAGTGTTCTCGATCTGATCAAATTGACAATCCAGATTAACCATCACACAAATCATAGAAAATCAAATCCAAGAACACAGGAAAGAATGATGTATCATGACTGAGTGTACCCAAGAGTGCAAGGTTGACTTACCATTAAAAAGTCAGTCCAGGGCTGGGGATGTAGCTCCGTTGGTAGAGGCTTGCTCCACATGCACAAGACCTTGGGTTCAATCCCCAGCACCACACACACACAAAAAAAAAATCAATTCAAGCTGGGCAGGGTGCCACAGGCCTGTAATCCCAGCTGCTCAGGAGGCTGAGGCAGGAGGATCACAAGTTTGAGGACAGCCTCAGGAATTTAGTGAGGCCCAAGACCGTGTCTCAAAATAAGAAATAAAAATGACTGGGGATATGATCAGTGATAGAGCCCCCCCAGGTTCAGTCCACGGAAGGAAGGAGGGAAAGAGGGAAGGGGGCAGGAGCAGTGGTGGGTGCTGCTCTCCTGGCATCCCAGCAGCTCAGGAGGCTGAGACAGGAGGAGGATCAGGAGTTCAAAGCCAGCCTCAGCAAAATCGAGGCACTAAGCGAGAGGGGCTCAGTGGTTGAGTGCCCCCGAGTTCAGTCCCTGGTACCAAACAAAAGAAAAAAGGGAGGGAGGGAGGGGGGGTGAGAGGGA